AGTTTCGTTAACGATGGGGTGGCCGACGCGCAAAGAGCGCAAAGTCATTCGAACAATCCCGCTTTACCGTTATCCTTTACGCCCATTCTCCTCACCCGCGCGTTCTCCAGAGACGTGATTTCACGATGTCATATTTTACGACTCATCAACCGAATTAAACGCCTCCTGTAAACGCGTTAATAACCGATGGAACAACGGGTGGCGCGTGCACCGTTTTCCGGTTTGTAAAATCCCGAGACGCGTCGCTCGTATCAGGATAAATGGAACGAACGAGACACTTTTGTCCCGTCGTCCTATCGCTGCGATAAAGATTGAAGAATAACAAATAACTGAAAATTTTTCTTTTTCTCACATTTAAAAATATCAAACCTTTTTATATTTGTCTTGTATCTCCATTTAACCCACGCATACATACCCGATCTCGGTACGTGTAATGCGGTACACTATGTAAGCGAGTCACGCAATGGTCGGCCGCACGCGTAACGAAGTAAAGAAAGGGAACGTTTAATTAAAAAATTCCTGGAACAAATTGATTCGTTTCAGCGCGGTATTCTCGTAGTTGGGCAGAACTATTCGATACGCGCTATTTCTAGCAACGTCGATCGAATAGTTATGAACCTCTTGCTAAAAGCTGTCATCGCTGAATTACCAGGGTGCAATTTAGAAACCTGCGACTGTGAAAGTGCGACGAGGTCTCAGGGACGTTTTCGCGTCAATTTTTTTTCCGTCCTCTATAATAAATTGCGGTTGTACCCAGAAATAGGACATACGCTGATATGTGCGAGACAATGAATTTTTTCGTCGTATAAATAAACGAGAATGAAAAATGTAGATTTGACAGTCTTCTCGAGACTGCCCAATTTCTCTAAAGGTTTTTTCTTTTTTACCATGACTATGAAAACTAGAAACCAGGAGGCAAAACTAGGCTTTAAAGAATGAAGCCGAAATCTGTACATCTATTAATATCAAATTCAGCGCTGGCGACGATTAAGTACCGGAAATATAATCTAACTCTTGATGCAGTCGTAAACCAAAGTCCAAGACTCGCATGTCTGTACAACATTTGTTAGACGCGTAAGGACATTGTACGTATTGTTTCAGTTATAATGAGATAATTATTATTTTTCTAAAAATGCTACACTGAGAAAAATCGTTTGATTGAACCAACAAGACGTATATGATTGAAGGCATTTTGGTTAAATCAAACAAGAATTTCTAGTTATCATGATAAGACTCGATTTTTTATAACTAGAACATTTAATACGTTTTTAACTAAGTTAAAATATTTAACTACGTTTAATACGTTTAACTAATTTTTTATAACTAGAACGTTTAATAAGGATTTGGTTAGTATTTTCTGGTTGGATCTATAAAATTTCTTGTTACATTAACTTCTTTGCTTGCCGCTAGGCGGCGAGCCACTCTTAACTTTACTCGTATTAAATATTTGCCATGAAATGTATATAAAAAAATTACTAGTATTAACGTTAAATCCAAAGTATATTTTTTTTCTCTTACAAGCAGTAATGCCAGAAAAAGAACGCTAGCTCTCTGATTGTGTATATTTGAACTGCATCCTATTCTTGCATCACTGTTTATCAGTTTAATTTCTAACAAACTGAACATAAAATAATTTATTCAATAATCTGGATTGAATTTATACAATAATCGTGTTGGAATTCAGAATATTAAACAGACTTTTGAGATGGAAAAAATTTTAGACGACTTTGTGCTGGCGAGTTTAGTATTATTAACCAGAAAATTTGGTAAAAACAGCAAGAAATTAATCAGATTCATCTGGTAAATCCTACAAGAATTCTGGTTCGTCCATTTTCCAACAGACATACTGGTTAAATTTACCAGAATTCTAATTAATACAACCAGATTTTTTTTCTCAGTGTACTATTCATATGCACATTTTGAAGTCTTCTTTAAAGTCATATTTTGAAGTTGTTAAAAAACTACTTTGAGACTCACGTATTGTTTCCGGTACTTAAGTAGCCAGTGCTACAAGTGAACAAATTTGAAAATAATCACGTGTAACTTTTTCGACACAGTTTGATGGCTCTAACCAGACCCAGTTCGGTCTCTTGGTCCTAGTCTTCATAACTGACAATGTGGGAAATTCGCCTCGAATGACATTTCTCGAATCGTGAAAGGAATCTAAAGGGCAAAGAGCGACAAACAGCGTCGTATTAGATTAGTAGACCGCGTATAAAGAACAAGTCTGATGATGCAGAGACGCGAGGTTTGCGTGTGTGCGACGTTGCGGTCTAAGGTTCGTGAACGAGGGAACGTCGCCAAACACACGTACGCGCACACATCCACGCGAACACGCGTAGAGAGGAATTTCCCACATGTGGTTCGCACGCGTGCGCGCGTTCACGGCAGGCGCTCGAGATAAATGAAATTCATAAGACGAGGGTATCCTTGAGACTTTGCCGCGGTGGGTGGGCGATAGTTTCGCGCAAGACGAAGCGAGAGAGGAGCCCGCCGGGGTTAGTATGGGGGTCAGGGGGGCTCGTGCAACAAGTGACGTTATTAGGTTGGCGCCGGAGGGTTGCAAGGGAGGGAACGGAGCGAATCATAATGCATAACTCTTGCCCGTCCTTGTCTTACTGCTCGCGCGCGCGCGCGCGCGGCCATTCAACTTCCGCGGAATTGTTCGTGCCAGCTTAAACCGAATTACTCCCCGGAGACCGGAAATTGGAGGATACTCGAGGAACTTTGCGCCAATGATTTTGTTCTAAAAATTAGGCCGCCTGGAGTCTTTTGCTTTGATTCGAATAAATACATTCTAAATTGCATGCAGCGAAAATTGAAAGCTTTTGTTGAATCGAGCCGAGAAAAGGATCCGAGCGAGCCGTTTAGCTCCAAGAAATCTTTAGTTTGATGAAAAATTGAATCGGGAAGATAAATGGTAAAATCCCCTCCTTCTCTCTGAGGTTTTTGATAAGAAATTTTACAATCTCCCACAGTCACCCCCGCACACATCCTGAGCCTATCTTAATCTTCTTGACAAGCTCGTGTTATGATATCGGTGAACTTCAAAAGCTCGTTTAGCCCGGATCGGTGCCAAGTTACGTCGAGCTCATTCATCCTTGTCGCCCGATACGGTAATCGAGAGGGTCGCGCAAAGACGCGGCCCGTCCTAGAAAACTAAATTTCCATTCTCTCTCGTCTCACGATGCCTGGCGCGAACCGCGAAAAGGGACCGTCGCCGACGGCCGTGGAAGACAAAGAGGCTTTATTACGCCGAGGAGAGCGATGGAAATTGAGATCGGCGAGGGCGGAGATTGGCAAGGATGCCAGGTGTTGGCGTCGAACGGCAAAGACGACTACCTTATATCCGCGGAACTCGGATTACTACCGCTCAAGACGCTTATCTCCCCGCGTTTCTCTCTTTTCTTTCCCGTATAATGGATTAAAATGTACGTGTCAAGGTGTAAATACGTCCGTTAATCGCGCGCGCTGTCCGATTTTTTTATGAGACTTCGCGAACGCATTCGTTATGGCATCGAGTTTACTTTATAGTTTCTTAGCTCTCTTTCCGGAGCCTCAATCTTAAGAACGAGACAAAGAATCGAGTAAAGTGAAATTGAAGTTAATATTTGCTACTTAAGAAGTCGTGTTTATCTTTCCTTCTATTATTCCCTTTCATACTTTCGTGACTTTCGAGTTTCGACTTGAGCGCAGCGATAGTGATTGAAATATGGATCTAGAAGGAGACAGTTGCGAGATGAAAGTAAGAAAGACTCCGCCGATGCCGCTAAACATGGTCAAAGTTGTCGATCTCTTCCGTGAGCGCATAAAAGGGAGAATAGAGAGTTTCTAAAGCGCCGAAAAAAAATCTCAAAGACGCACCCCGAATAATCGAGGAGGGATCTACACGTGTAACACGTAAACGCAACAGCGACGGTGAAGAAGGAGATGGTAGGGAAAAAAAAACAAAGAGATAAAGAGGGAGAAAGAACTTCCAGTGGACGACGGAACCGCCGTCGTGTCGTCAAGCCGGTCGTCCTTTTTCCGCCTCGCGGTCCCCTCTGTCTCACGGCACTTGATTTCCGTCTTTCCCATTTTCCTCTTTCGCTCCGTATCTCCCATCCCCCCCCTCGTCATCTCGTCCCTCGCCCTCGTCTTCGCCCGGGGTCCGCCATTTTTGTTTGTGTTTCGCGGCGATCGTGGACCGGAAACGGATGTCCGCACCGTGAAAAATGGCCGCCGTTGCGCTTCCGGGACGGGAACATTCCCCCTCTTCCCCTCCCCTTCTCCCTCGCCGTCTCCCCCTCCCCCTCCTACCCCTGTCGCAACCCTCTGCCGCGAATATCCTACATCCAAGCCTCGTCGACGAAACGCGTTTTATCCGACCGTCCCTTGCGCAACTTTTCCCCCTGCTATCTTTCTGCCCTTTTACCATTGTTCCGTCCGACTTTGGCCATCGATCCGCGCTCGAGTCATTTGACGCAACGCGCTACATGTGTTCCTGACGTCGCGTAAACCACGCATTTTATCATAGTTCCGCACACGTGCGCGCGCGTGTGTGTGTGCGCGAGGGATGTCCAGTCGCCCATGTGATTACTGTAATTGTCTCTTGACACTTTCGCGCGACCCGCGGGTTCCCACGCGTGCTGAAGGAGAGGGAGACACGCGAGGCACTCTAAACATAGCGCGTTAAACTCGTCATAAACATGCAAAATTAAGGAATCCGCTTTAAATTTATGAAATATTATTATTCTGATATACTCCACTTTCGTTATATATTATTAATGATCGCTAGTCGTTTTGCGCGCCGTCATTATAATTTTCTCGTCGCGTGTTTAAAATTGAAGCAAAATTCTGCCCGCTTCGAAAGCGGACCCAACATTAGCGGATTAGAAAGCGTTTGCTTAATCTCTTTTTAGTTTTGCGCTTCGATTCAATTATTCGCTCTCGATCAATTACCGGAAACTCTGGATTAAGAGCTTATCTCCCTAATCTTCTCGCTGCATACTTTGTTTCAGGAAAGTTTCAAGAATGTGTTGAGCTGATTACATCTAGGCTACACTAGGGTTTCGGGAATGGAATCGACATTATTGCTGCTCCTACTGATCGGTAAGTTTAACATTGAAAAAGCGATTACGAAAAACGTGTCGGCATCCTTCGATGTTGATTATTGAGGTCATTAGCGTAAGATGTGCACTTTTGAATGAACTTTGAAGCGGAGAGACTATATCCGAAAGTCTGGGCAAAACTTTAGCGAGTCATACTCATTATAAACTTCTCGATTTGGCAACATTCCCTCGCAACAATGAGTTATTCCGCGATGTTGGGAAAATATTTATCGAGTTAGAAAACGATTGGCGCAAATTGCTACAAAATTTTTCCCGATCTTATCTCACTTAATTAAACTCTCGCGGTTTAATGAAAGGAAAAAAAAACTTGTCTGCGAAAATGATATCGAGATATTTACGGATACGGAAGCAAAAGTTGGCGCATTCAATGAGCATTCGATGAATTATTCAGCGAATCGTTCAATTGTGACAAAACTGTTTCTCCGACGAATGATATCGAGTGTATACACGAGAAAATACCTCTACCGCGGGCAAATGGAAGCTTCGCTATCTTTTAAGAATCGAACAAAGTTTTCGGGAGATACAATTTCAATATGCAAAGTAGGTCCATGACACGCAAAAACGACGTTTCAAGTTTTCGAATGCGTTTCTCGCATCTCCGCATTTCTATCGATATTTTCACGGGTCTCCTTTCACGAACGCGCGAGTGTAAAACAGACGGAATAAAATTCGCAGTCTCCATCGAAGCGCGAACGTTTGGGGAAAGTGACTTCGATTTGACGCTCCGTGAACTTGCAGAATAACCCGTCTCCAGCCGTTCGTGGAGAGAGGAAGGCGAAAAACGCGTTCGTTTCGCGGCGAGCATCTACCACCACGCTCCGTCCACGGTCGATGACCACGTGGAAGGTAGGAGCGAGGACGAATGTGCGGGAGCGGGAGCGAGAAAAAAAATAGAGGGGAGGAAAAAAGAAAGGAGTACGTTTGGTTTGGCAGCGGGCGGTGGGCGTCGAACTCGGGACATCGCGCGCGGATGACGAGTAATCGATCACGAGCACTCTGCCAACACTACGTGGCGAAGAGCACATGGTGGTTCTCATTCACGGATGGAAAACTTTGCGCGCGGGCTTCGTTTTGCGCCGATCTACTTCTCGAAATTGTCGCCAAACGAACGAGGAAAAGAGATATCGCGAGAAAGCAGAGACGGAAGACGGGGACAAGATTGGCGCGATCTGACGTTTCGAAAGTTGTCGGCGCAAAGATACCCTCCCGAGGTACGAAACCCTCGTCTCTTCCGCGTCGGTTTATCGCGACGATAATTCGAGACGCATCCGATGACACATCGAGATCTATGACACACGGAGAATTAATTTCGGCGAAATTGGATATCTCTTGGTCGGCGGTATCAATGGTATCGCGGGAAATTGCGAAGAAGAGCCGCATCCGGTAGCTGTCGCGCAAATCCCCGAGCATAGCTGAGAGCCATGCGCCGGAGATATTTGCGGACGAGTTCGTAATGCTTTCGCGAAAAATACAGAAACCCCCGGCTGGCAACCCGACCCCTCTCCCCCCCCGCACTCGGTTACCCCGGCCGTCCCTGTATCGATTTCTGTCCGATAGAGTATCGCGATACTCGCCCTCTCGCCACCCTCTCGCGCTCCTCTCCATCCCCGACCGTCTCTCTTTGTGACTCGTCCTCTTCACCGCTTCCCCACCCCTTCCTCCTCTCGCCCTCTCGCTCGATCTCCCTCTCTCGCTTCCTCCGACGCCCGCGTGTCCCTGTATCGCGATTTTCAATACTGTGCCGCACACGTGAAGCGAAGGTGGACATCCGAGGGCGAAATCATTACTTTTACGTCGAGTTTCTTCTCCGACGCGTATCATCTCTCTCATGATTCCAGAGTGAAATTTGAAAAAAAAATACTAAGGGAAAGGGAAAAGCGAATTTCGAAAAATTTAAAATAACGCGATTAATTTTAACTAAATTAGGCTTTAAAAATTATATTTAAAAGATTTCACATCTGGATAATGTAAATTGGCTGTCGATGATTTCAAACGCGAATTAATTCTCATACAATCTCATCATTAGCAGGAATGTTATGCAATAATGCAATGATAATACGTAACGGATAATAATACGAGATTGAACTAGAATCTAGATGACGTAAAACTACTAATAGGATAGGCATACGTAGACGTGTATGGGAATTCAGGGGTTTCTCACATCATTCATCCATCAGCATCCGGAATAGCGCGAATCGCGGTCGAATGAAATTATTTATCTCGATATGAAGACTACGTTCGGTGAACCGAGCAGAATGGATAGGTAACATGGATGGCATGGTTCTGATTTTTGTTTTATCATTGAAAGATACAACGGGCGCTATAACGCACACATTGGCCAACCGGTTCGCTTGGGGTCATCGGTGAGTGGCCGAAATTTCATCGTAATGGATCAAATAAATGGTGATGAATAACAGCATGGTTTTGCTCTGGATTGACGTAAAAATGTAATATCTTTTTCCTCCCTTTTTTAAATAAAAAAAACATATCAAAGGCAACTGTTATCGACGACGATATATCAAATCGAGTATAGAAATGAAATGGAATATAGAATTAAATATAGTAACATTAGAGAGAAAACATTTCTATGGAAATGTAAAGCCGATGTATCTTGGAGGAGCTTGTATAAAATCTTTCGAAAAAAAGAAAAAAATGTATTAACAATATCTCGGTACTGATAGTGATTAAATCGCCAATGGTTGAATGATTAAATGATATTTCTGACACTACGTAGTTATATACGTTCCTATTCGCGGTCTATCCGACGTACGTAACAATAACTTGATCGAAAGTTTATTTTATCAGTACTCGTAAAAGTCGTGTGCCGATGAATATTCCCGACAAAAAGCTCTTATATCCTTCGTAGCTCTAATATTTTTATTTTCATTATCTTTCGAAAATTGCTTTCCTCTTTCCTTATCCTTTCTTTTCCTTCATTCCGGTATGTGTACGTTATACGAGCCGTCGTTACAAAGCGTCGAGGATTAAATTTATCACGAATCCGGAAACCTGATAAAAAACCGCGGAATTCTTCGCGAACATTATATTAAACCCATTATGCGGCAAAAATTCTGCTTCTCTCGGCTACAGTGCATCACTAATATTTTTCATATTATTTATACAAACGCTGTCTATCACGGGATGGAAAAAATCATCGTGCGGCGTGAGATACGGTCGACTCTCTCCGTTTGGAAGATAAAAAAAAATGAGAAAAAAACCATGTCAAATGGTTTTTTCGACGCATCTAGTTACGTGGTAAAAGCGAACCGAGCGGTTCGCATTTTGACCATTCGATTTCGACAAAATCGATTTCGGGGCAGCAACGGTTGCGCCATCGTCCATCGTATCGCATCATCAGTGACGTTGGGATTTTAGCGGGCCGCGAGGACCGCCGCAGGGCGAGTTGCCAGGGGCGCTAAAATATGCGCTTAATATTTACTCCAGACCGCATGGTGAAACGTATGGCGCTGCCAGGCATAACAAATTCCATTATTAAGGACACTGACGACCGAATGGCGTTTTCACCGGGGAATTGACGGCGTATAATGTCACGATACTTGATCTGAGAAAAAATTCTGGATGCATTAATTAGGGATCTAGAGTCAATCAGTATGCTTGTTGGAAAATGAACGTATCAGAATTCCTTTAGGAATTATCAGAGTGAATAATTTCTTCCTGTTAAGTTTACCAAATTTTCTGGATAATGATACTAAATTTACAACAAAAATGGCATCACTGTGTTTAGTTAATATAACAAAAAGTTTTACAAATCCAACTAGAAAATATTAATCAAATCCTTGTAGTAAAGTCTATTAAACGTTCTTGTTATAAGAAATCGTGATAACTCAAAATTCTGCTTGGTTTCAATCAAAATGACTTTTATCAGATACGTTTTGTGAATACAATCAAACGATTTTTCTCAGTGTGGAGGTAAATGCATCGGTAAAGAATCGTCTTTGCAAACTTCTGTATTTAATCTTGTAAAGAAATTTAGTCTTCTCAATTGAAAAATAAAATTATAATTATTTGTTTTACTAATTATTATAATTTGTTAAAAAGAACAATTTCATTCATTTCTCTCTTGATATTTCGAATATATAACAAATAAAAGTATCTCTTTTCAAATAATAAAGGAGACTAAATATATTATTCAAAATATATCTTTTGGCTGATCATTTATTGATGCATCCATTCTATCTCCAGTCATTCGATTTATACGAACCGGTAAGCAAATTGCTATTTGATCGTGAAAATCGATACGAGGAATGACGTCATCAATATGATATCGCCATCCAATAGGGTATGATAATCGAATGGCGAAACTGAACTATGGAAATGAAATTTTGACACATGTAAATATTACTACGGCAGCACCAATGCATATTTTCCATTATTCAACTCGGGTGAAGGAGCACCACTAGTTAAACATAAAAATTATGATGAGAGTAATTATATGACATCATATGAATAATTAAATATCACACTGTAATAACAGTATTGTTAATAAAATAAAATAATAGAATTTTTTTTATAGAAATTAAATCTTACCGAGCAAAATATATTTAATAAACCGAAAGCTTACTCATTCATTACGCAATTTAAATATGCAAAACTTGTTATTGTCGCAATTTCTAAAATTTCTAAAATTACCCAATATTTATTTTTTAATGACAATATTGAATGTTTTGATGTATCTTTTTAGTCCCGAATATATGTATATAATATATATAAAATATTTATCATTATATATTTAATATCCTTTTATAATCCTTCTCTATTAATCCTTCTCTTATTGCATTTAATATAGTTATATATATTGAGATTGCATTTTAGGTAATAATTTTATAAAGTTAATATCAATTCTATATCGGAACAAAATCCTATTTCTGCTTTGAATATATATTGAGGATATTGTATAATTAATGACGATAATTATATCGAAAACTTATTTTGCAAAACTATGTTTAAGTTTGTTAAAAT